AGGTGAGATTTTGATACAGCAAGAGAGAAGACATTGACATGCTTTTCATTTATTTGGCAAAAAAAGGAGAATGTGTTTCACTATCTCTACAAGAACTTGTGCATTTTTATCACACAAATCTTATTTACACAAAGAAATTAACTTGCATTTATCAACTGCCAACTTTTGTAGCTCTTACAAAAATTCTATCTTTTAAAAGAAAAAGAGAGGAACTCTTAAAACACTGTCTTTTATAAATAAGTCAATATACATGAACCATTGCCTATAATTAGCTATAGCAATAGCAAAGGCCATAAACATAAAGTGAAACATAAGTTCAACCTCAACACAAAAACAGTATCAACAATGCATCTATTCCCTAAGAGTGAGGGTACTTTTTTCACTTGAAATTAAAGTGCAGGACTTGGAAACATATGACTGAAGCTGTTATCTAAACATAAGTCCCACTGTAGCGTTATATTTAAATATCATAAAATGAAATTCAAAATGCTCCCACACACTGGACTTATACCATAGACTTATATAACGCTGGCGCATCCTCCAACTCCCTCATCTCTTCCACTTGACATTTCTCCGCGTGCCGTGACCTGCAGCGCTCCATACTCCACTTTTACTGGCATGTTTACTAACTTGAACCGCCGCTGCACGGAGCAATCGGTAATGACATCAAATACCGCGAAAGTGATTGAAAAGCATACAGAGCCGTTGCTCTCGCGCTAGTTTCACCGATCGCTCTGTGCAGCGCCAGTTCAAGTCGAACAAGCTTATGTCGCGCGAAAAGAAAACACACGTCACATACGGGCACGAGGCTACATTGCGCATGCGTTGAACCGTGAGACGCACACACGCTCCGAACCGAGACAAGCGAACTGAACGGTTCGGATGTTTTTCATGTACCGTGCCACCCCTAACATGTACTGGCTTAAGCAGGGGGACACGCCTGACACGCCAGGATTTGAGTCCCTCTCGGTGTAGTGTGTTACTTATGGTAGCCTTTGTTACTTTGGTCCCAGCTCTCTGCAGGTCATTCATCAGGTCCCTCCGTGTAGTTCAGGGATTTTAGCTCACTGTTCTCATGATCATTTTGACCCCACAGGATGAGCTCTTGCATGGAGCCCCAGATCGAGGGAGATTTTTCAGTGGTCTTGTATGTCTTCCATTTTCTTACAATTGCTCCCATAGTTGATTTTTTTCACTCCAAGCTTTGGTCTTGGCCATGGTTGAGTTTGGAGTGTGAGTGTTTTGAGGCTGTGGACAGGTGTCTTTTATACAGATAACGGGTTCAAACAGACGCCAATAATACAGGTAACGAGTTGAGGACAGAAGAGCTTCTTAAAGAAGAAGTTACAGGTCTGTGAGAGCCAGAAATCTTGCTGGTTTGTGGGAGACCAAATAATTATTTTCCACCATAATTTACAAATAAATTCCTACAATGTGATTTCCTGGATTTTTTTTCTCATTTTGTCTCTCATAGTTGAAGTGTACCTATGATGAAAATTACAGACCTCTCTCATTATTCTAAGTAGGAGAACCAGCACAATCAGTGGCTGACTAAATACTTTTAAGGTCCCAGTGTATATTAAAAAATACATAAAAAAGGCAGTGAGCCTCCAATATATCTTTGATCTGACCCTTGACTATTTATCTAGAAACTTAATTTCCTTATCTTAATTGCCTACTTACAAAAAAACTAGGGGAAAATGGTCCAACGACTAAGCAAGGTATAGCCTGACTACGTCAGACTTCCTACTTCCGCTAATTTCATTTCGCTCCTGTAGTCAGTCTGAAGGTGCGTTCCATTCGACCGGGTCCCTATGCAGTGTTCACTGCTCCCTAGTCCCTGAACACGGTATATCAGTTGAAGTGGACTTCACTGACTTCCTGTGAAGTGATGTATCGATGTTCCCTTATTCCCTATGCCGTTTGCAGTGCCCTTTGAACTGAACATGTTCGTTCCCGTCGAATTGGAATCTCACTTAAGATGGCGAAATACCCTGTGAAGTCCACTTCGTAGTCCACTTACGGTCGAATGGAACGCACCTTGAGATAGCAGCCTATCTTTCAGTTTTCCACCGGTCTGAAAACAGCTGGCCAATCAACGAACAGAGGGCGGGCTGAGAGCCGAGTTTTACATTGTAGGTTAGAGAAATCGAAAACTGAAACGACCGCAGAAATGGGAAACGAGACAAGGGATGCAATTCACTCCGTTATGGAGAACATTCCGGGGTTTTTCAAACTGAAGTTCACTCCATGTTCACTCCGGTATTTCGCTCGCATCATCAAGTGTTTACAGCCAGGACCGGCGCGTGCACTTCCCTCGCTCTAGGCAAAAACAATTTGGCCGCCCCTCTATTTGCAACGTATACCAGCAACAACAAACAAAGACTAACTTGCCATATAATGCAAAAAAACTAGTCTAAAGTCAGTGGCGCTTTGCACGTTGTTAATAATGCTATTTTAAGGGCGCATGCTTGGCCATTATGAAGCTTGTGCACAACGCGCATAGACTTTGATTCTCTCATCAACACAGATGCAGCCATTTTTATTTTTGTAAATCATACATTATAACAAGGAAAAATATTAACACTTCAAGCTTACACATTTAGGCTACCCAAATTTTTCAGGCTAATTGTAGTAATGACGGATCAGACCTGTTTGGCCAATTAGTAACAAGACACATATGTATAAGGACATTACTTATCACCATGCAACGTCACTTCTCTGTCTTTTACGGCCATGACAACAACGTCGGTCCCCTCGGCTGTGAACGCTCCTGGCGCGCTCTTATTATCATATTATTACCAAATTATCATTTGTGAATTGTTCATTCCCGGTTGGCACACATTTTGCAGCCCTTATAAAAGCGCCGCTCCCTGTTTACAGTGGAAGTTCGATCATAGATTTGAGTTCGATGCATGATGTCTGTGGTTCGATGCGGCTGTGTCGGCGCATAACATATGTCATAAATAGAGTTGGGTCCGAGTCCACCTTAGTCGAGTCCGAGTCGAGTCCGAGTCCAAAGAAGGCCGAGTTGGACTTGAGTCCGAGTCCTTAACATCCGAGTCCGAGTCGAGTCCGGCCGAGACCACAAACATTTAAAGACTTTGTAAAAAGACCTGTCCCTCTTAGTTACTGTTGCTACGTTCCACAAGCCATTCCGCTCTCACTCCACATGTTCTCACACAGTGAAAAATATATTGAGGAGGAAAGAGAAAAAGGTATTTGCAAGGTAATGCTCAAGAATGCAACACGATGCATTAAGAGCCAGGGGTATATTTTTGAGCAAGATGATGGTGATGTTTACATTTTTATCTGAGGGGCAGGACTAAATTAATCAATTTTTTTTTTTTTTAACAATTTACATCCAGTTCCATCCTTAACGGATGCTTCCTTCTTGAACATCACTAAATATTTGCAGGGTTTGTAATGTTTGTGTAGGAGTCCCTCACTTGTCACCAGTGCGAAAAGATGGATCTCACTGCCACTGCTAACATTAGTTAGGAGTCAAATATGTGTATGTGTATTGTATGTGTTTTGTGGCCTTATTTCAGGAACTTTCATTTTTAGTTTTTACAATAACCACACATAAACAATATTCTCTCAAAAATACAAACATGTACAAACGTGTTGCTCATAAATTATGGTTGCCCTGTTTCTGCTAAATATAGTGTAATTTCACCTGTGCCATTAATGTGTTTATAAGCAGTTGAAAAAAAACACAGATGTCAGGCCATGTCAGAACATCTCAAGGACCCCAAATAGCCCTTGGTCCCCAGAGGGTTAAAACTGACACTGTACACAGTCAGTGCTCTTAATACTATATATTTGCACATTTTGCAGACCTGTTTTGAAAAACATCAACTTAAACGCCAACTATATTTCCATTTTTTTCTATCACAGAGTGATTCTTCTTGTGACCACTCAGTAGTGCTGTAGCGGCGCGTCGATGATTCGACGTCAAAATTGCGTCGACGTCATATTTTTGTGTGGGAGACCGAAACATTGCAGAATAGAGGACGAAGACAACTAGAAGTGAATGTGCTATCCATTAAATGAATCACACACAGTAAAGAAACCCTTAAGAAAAAAAAATAGCAATTTAGATGCACAAACTGGGTGCCGGTGTGGTGAGACGTACAAGCTCGGGCAGATTCGGCTTGAAAAAAAAAAAGGCGTACACACAGCCAGCCACAGTCTTCCTGGTCTTGCGCACCCAACGCGTCATTTTTGCCGTGCGCACATTCGCGCTCGTGCGGACGTGTCGAGTATAAACAAGGCTTTACTCCGTGTCAGCACGCGCTCTGATCAGTAGGTGCAGAAACCTCTCCCGATTCATCTCCATCAGTAGCAGTCTCCGATCACACCACTAACTCCGCCTCCGTTTCCCTCCTCAGCTGATATTAATATTTAAACATTCTCTATGATAAAAAATGTTTGTAAAAAATATTTTAATAACACAGTTTTGGCGGTTGTAGAGTTATAATGATGGTGTTCAAATACATAACATTAGACTAACGTTAGCCAGCTTATAGTTTCTTGATTCAGTATGCTAGTATTTATTTGAGATATTGTTTTTTTTTTATTAATTGAGCAGCAGAAAAAATATTCTTTGTATTAGTCGTCCAATTAGTCATTAGATTAGTCGACTAATCGATAAAATAATCGCCCAACTAATCGTTTAGTTAATAATCGTTTACCCCAGCCCTAGCACTCAGGTCATGATCATAATGCTACTTAAATGTGAGAGGTTGTTTGTGTGTGCTAAAAGTTTTGAACTTGCATTTCCTGCTTCTGTTCTTCTGAAAGGTGAATTCTGTGTTGCAGCATCTATTGTACTCACATTTTTTTTTTTTTTTCAGAGTGACAGATATAGCTTTTGCTTTTGGTGTGAATAGACCATTTGCTGGCATTATTGTATCATTTTTGCACATTGCTGTTCTGGGAAAAAGATACTATGAGTAAATAAAATATCTAAGACATACAAATACACATCTGCTCACCTCCTGGACCATTTCTTTGATGAGTTTGTTTGCTGCCCGTAGGTCCTCAGGGTGAGAGCTATTCAGAAGACGGGACAACATCTATTGAATCGGAGGAAGAAAGTACAGGACAGAGAAAAAAAATACATTAAGAGAAAATGCACCAGGACTCATCTTAAAACTGGCTCATAGTTTAAAAACATATAGAATATCACAATAGAAAATAAATCATCAATTTAAAGAGCACCTATCATGGATTTTTGAAAATGACTGTTCATGTAGTGTGGAATATAGCTCTAAGGGAATGAAAAACATCTTGCAAAGATTTATATCTGAAAGTGCACCGTACATAGAGTTATTGTCTTTCAAAAGTGAGAGTCGACTCTGAGTCTATGAAATGAATTGTTTTCGAAACGAGTCATTAGCTGTTACATCGTGACGTAGATAGGTCATTGGCCGCTCCCAACAGATTCAAATTATTTTATTTCATGCCATGTCAGCAGTCAGAGCTATTTTCATGGCAAAAAAATCATTTACAAAAATACAAATATCATATAAATACAACAAAAACAAAACAAATATAAACAAGAAGTCATATTATACAATATATTTTTTTAAATTAACATATGATAAAAAATCCAGAACCTTTTCAGGCATAATCTCATTAAATATGTCCTTCAAAGAAGTAACTTCATAAAAGAGCCTTCTGCTTGCGTTAAGTCCAGGAAAATCTAATAAAAAATGTTTGACAGATAAGGGAATTTTACAAAACATACATAAAGTTGGGTCTTCACCTTTAAGCAAAAAAGCATGGGTCAAACTTGTATGACCCATTAGGCATCTGGTGTAGACCACTTGGTCAAATCTAGTTTTAAAATTGGTAGAAAGTCTGTTTGTTATTTCCGGATGAGTTTCATACAACTTATTGTTCTTGCACATATTCCACTCTTCTTGCCACTTATTTAAAATATATCGGTTAATAATATCTGATGGAGGAATTTGACAATCATTAACTTCCTGATTAAGAGCTTCCTTAGCAGCAGCATCAGCTCGTTCATTTCCTGAAAGTCCAACATGTCCTGGAACCCAGCAAAAAATAATACTGAAGAACTAATTTTGTAGATTATCCACTTTGGCTAAGATGCAATCCACCAAAGGGTGATCAATTTTTAAAGTATCCATTGCTTGAAGGCAAGATGTAGAGTCTGTAAAAATTATAGCATTTTTTGTAGTGTATTTTTGATATACCCCAAAGCTAAAAGTAAAGCACGTGCTTCAGCAGAGAAGATTGAGCATTGTTTTGGAATACAGATTCCATAGCATTGATGTCCAGTCACCATTGCTGCCGTTACACTATTTTCCACCTTCGAACCATCTGTGAATATAGGTACGTGAAAAGGGAATTGGTTTCTTATGTCCAAATATTGCTGTCTATATACATTTTGGTGAGTCACTCCTTTCCTCTGATTAGCCAAATCCAAATTGATATTCGGGTTCTTTAATTTCCAGGGAGATATAGAATTGAATTGTATTTGGTTTAAAATGTTTACATTTATATTCAAGTTCTCCAAATGTGGTTTAATACGAATACCAAAGGATCTGATGCTTTTAGGTTTGCTCTCATACAAAGGAGTAAATTGTGGGTTGAAGACTGAAGAATAGGCTGGATTGGATTTATTTGCCTTTATTTTGACAGCATATTGGAGTGAGAGTTTCAATCGTCTATTTTGAAGTGAAAGTTCATTAGCTTCAATGTACAAACTTTGCACTGGCGAAGTTCTAAATGCTCCCAAGGCAAGTCGTAAGCCCTGATGATGTACAGCATCTGCTTATATGATTTTCTCGCCGAATCATATATTATGCTTCCGTAGTCCAGCCGGGAACGAATTAGTGTTCTATAGAGTCTCAAAAGAACAATGTAATCTGCTCCCCATTTTGTTTTTGCTAATACTTTCATTATATTCATAGCTTTAAGACACCTGTTCTTTAGTGATTTCAAATGAGGAATGAAAGTAATTTTGTTGTCAAATAGAAGACCTAAGTACTTGATTTCCTTAACAACATTAATCGGTTCTCCATTAATGAAGAGTTCTGGATCATGACGAAGGGATCGCTGGATTCAGAAGTGGGTACAGACTGTTTTTGATTTCGAGAATTTGAATCCCCGCTCCCAACAACTGCGCGCGCAGACTTGAAGTGATGTCTAGAACACATTCAAATACTTCAGCTGAATCGCATCATGCCGAGAATACGTTCTACATTGCAAAGACAGTTCAGCCACTTGTTTCCATTGTCCAGGGACGAAAATGTGAAGAATCAGTGGTCAGAGTTCATACTTGCAACGCCCGAACCTTTTGTTCATCATTTTAATGACGAATCATTTAAAATTCAAAAACCTAAATTAATTCAAATGTGTTGATTCACAAGCCGGTTGTTCCTGAAGGAGGGCTCAGTATCCAGTGTATATGGATCAGGTTCATCCTCCTCCGAATCACAATCCGTAAGTAATATTAATAATGTTTGCTGTTATGTTTTCTGTAGCATGCACAATATAGTTATATTATGTTGTGTGTTGTGTACACTCCACGCAGCTTCTAAGCGGGGTAAAGTTAGTTTTGTTTTTGATATTCACCAGACATTCATTGAAAAATGGCAATTACCTCCTAAACGACTTAGCTAAATATGACTTCGCTCTATATAATAAGCACTGCCCTTCAAAAGCCCCCGCAATGTGAGTTTCGCTGGGAAAGCTCGCTCTTGACGGAGTAAGGGACCGTGTGGAAAGTGCACTTTTTCTGGCACGTTTTTTCAAACACTATATACAATTTTCAACACTTGACAAGCTATAATCCTGGTTATGGGCGTTCCGTTGCCCAACTAACTGGGTCATTTGACCAATCGCCGCAGATTCGCGTCACTCAAAGGAGGTGTTTGGGAAAATGAATCGTCGAACGAATCATTTGAGAGTCATTGAGCAAATCAGTTAAAAATAAATGCATATTATAAAGGCCTGTTCACACCGGGACGAATTTCGCGCGCGTAAAAGCGTCATGTTTAAAAAAACGGTTTGACGGTTTTTTGGTTTGACGCGCCGCGTCAAAACCTATCCGACCAACGAGATTGGCGGGTTTGCTTATGTGTCTGGTACTTCTGAAGTTACAGTAAAACACAACTTGGGGGCGCTCAAACACGGTCTTGCCGAGCGAAGAAGAGATAAGATACCTATGGGCAAGATGAATGTTGAGCTGCTGGTCTAGGAGCATAAAGAGCTATATTTATATTAGTATTTCTGTAATAATAGTGTAGTATAGGGTGACCAACAGTTCTGTTTTCCCGGGACATGTGTAAAACGGTCACTTTGTGCTTTATAGAAATCTGAGTTGAGATGAGAACTGCGCATAGTGTTCGTAGTGTCAGTTAGATTTTGACAAGTGAGGAGAGGAGATAACCGCTCTGCCGACTCTTTGTATTCTTTATTTTATTTTTCTATTGTGACCAGATGTTTGTTTGTGTTTTTTTTTTCTCGCTCGATCCCCATGTATGATGACGAGTGTAACGTTTGAGTGGTTTTATTAAACGCGGGGAAATACGACAACTCTCGTCTCTCGTGCATCTGTTCATCCGACAACTAGTGCCATGTTTTTATCTCTGGGCAACATCTCAACTTTGCGTTACACATGTCCTGTTTCCACGTCCTGTCCTGGCTGTTTTTAAGTGATGAAAATGTCCTGGTTTTCAAAAAAACTGCTGGGAAAGATCAGTTCTACAGCAAAATATAGATGGACAAGGTGGATGAGGAAGAAAAACGGGATAAGAACGATGAAAACTAAAGATATAAATAGATTTTGTTAGTTCGTTTTTGTAAGTTTGTGAGAGCTATTTTTTTTTACATTTGGAGGCATTTCTTTTAGTTATTTATTATTTATATATTTATTTTTCTAATACAGAAGACATTATTTCTATCATTATTTCATTCGTTTTTTTTTAAATCTGTCATAATAAAACATTGAGACATGAATATGATCACCCTAGTATATTCTATTATTATTTCTGTTTTACATTAAGCGCCATCTAATGTCAGGGAATGAATTTGCATGTTCACTCGGCTCATCGTCAGCGAAAAACGCTTGGGTGTGAACACAAAAAACGCTTTGAAAAACCCTGACGAATAACGCGCGCTGATATTCGTCCCGGTGTGTACGGGCCTTAAGACAAATAAAGTGTTTTTTATACTTGCATGCAGGTTAAACTGTTTTTGGGAACTCCTAAAATAAAATAGGAACATTTCAAATGCTATGATAGGAGCTCTTTAAACAGCATTAGTGCATATCAACTACCTTTGATTTCTCCTCATCCTCAAAGATGGCATTCTTGGGCCTAGGCGGTGGAGGAGGACAGGGCTTGTCAACAGGAAGATCTGGATCCTGCTTAATAATACCTGGAAAGAGACCAAAACATCATCAACACTGCGAGTTCCACAAGAGAACATTACTACACATATAAACGTTTCCTTATCGTTACTTTTAACAGCACTCATGAAAATACAAATCTCAAAATGCACATTTTTTTTCTATTGAACATACAAATATCAGCTGTGAGACGTAGCTAAATGTGTATGTCAGTCATGACAGATCAGGACCCTGCACATCAGGTTACCTTGTTTCTTAAGCATCTGATAAGCATCCAAAATCTTTGTCTCTTCTTGTAAACTCACAGTCCAGCTGTACATCATTTCTAAAACTTTTTTCTTCACTGGTTCTGGGGCTCGAGAACCAAGATACTGTAACAGAAGCAGGGTAAAGGGAGAGTTATTGACAAATGCTTTAGGGGCTAGTGTTTGTATGTGCAATCCAACAAATTAACATAACTGATTAGTTATGTTAATTAGAATCACATTTAAGAAATATTCTGCATTCCACACAAGTTTAAGGAATAGTTCCGACATATCACCCTCTTACTCTAATGCCTTATCTTTGGATTTCATGTTTTTCCAGTTCTTCGAGTTCCTCATGCAATATATTCAGGTTTGAACAAATAAGGATATGCAATAAATGCATACATTTGTCATCGCTGGACGTAGTGGTGTATACAGATTAGGGGGAAAACCAACTCTCTGACAAATTACCTGGGGTTTGTACCACAAATCCAGTGTGGGTGGCTTGCCAGACAATCTTAACATTAGTTTACACCATTTCTGGATTTTATGTACTAAAAATGTGAGTCAATTTTTTTGACTTATTTTTCATTCAGTTTTAAACATCTGTTAAGTTAAATAGCTTATTCAGGTCAGTACTAAAAAACAAAACGCAACTTTTATGATCCTTTTGTTAAAGCAGCACTATGCAGGATTTCCGTTTTTGTCACACTGTGACCTCTAGAGTCACTAGCCGCGTTTTCACTGCCGGGCCAGTGCCGAGCCGTGCTAGTAAGTGCCAGGGCTAGTCGCGTTTCCACTGTCACTTCCGGGGCTTGATCGGGGCTTACTCGGGGCCAACAGCCTGGATTTCTGGCCCGTCGAATACCTTGGGCCAGAGCGGGCCAGCTCGAAGGCAGAGTTTATCTGTGTTCTGTGTTATGGAACGTTATGATCTGAAGCAATATCGCACAAAAAAAAAAATAAAATAAAAAATCGCTGCTTGAAATGGAGAATTGCCTGTACTGGTCTGTCAAGGATACCACAGCTCTTCTGAGCATTTGGGCAGAAGAAAGGGTAGGATGTCAATTTGTTCGACGTCACGCCGTGTGAAGAAACAAGGATATTACAAAATACATCGATGCTGAACTTTCTAAGCTAAACATTCAGCGAGTAACGCTTCAAGTTCAGGAAAAAATAAAAAAGTTGCGGGCACAGTATTGTACAAGGCGATTAAAATGCACAATGGACAAAGCGGAGTTCAGAGAAGGATTTTTCCATGGTTCGATAGACGGTGTGCTGGATCACCGTCCCTCTGTTAGTGACGTCTCGCGAGACAATCGGGACACTATTGCAGCCACGGCCGGTGAGTTAATATACATGTTATCTTCCTAACTTAAAAAATAAATTAATTCATAATACCCACTGATATGGGCTGGGTTGTATGACGTTTGATCCAGAAAGGCGTGTTAGGGGCGGGGTTTAGGGAAGCGTTGTGGGGCTACTGGCCCGGCAGTGGAAACGCAAGCCTGGTGCTTGAGGTAGAGGTCTTCACAGTGCACCCGAGACCCGTCGACCCCGGACCCGACCCGGGACCCGTACGGGTTCGGGTCTATATTTTAAATGAGCAGCCGGGTCCGGGTCGGGTCCGAATCTATTACTTTGGGTCCCGGGTCTGTTTAACATTGTGTGTAATACCAACACAGTCTCATCCTTTAGCGTCATATAGGACGCGCTGTATAACAAAACGGCGAAATACTACTCACATGGCACCCGTTATCGTTAATATAACACGCGCTGAGAACGGGCTGGTAATACACGTGCGATTGGAGTGCAATCTCAAGCGCGTGTCATGTTTCTATGGCAACCAGAGCAGAGCTTCCGCCAAAACACACTTTGCATTTTCTCCAATGTTTATAATAATATAAATGAACCGTCTTGTTTAATCTTAAAGTTTTGGTGGTCAGATTCAGACTCAATGAAGTGCAGAGAGCACAGATATGTTCAAGCTGAACAAGCAATCGTTATTATAGTTCAAAAGGGCAAACAGTTAAATTTATTATGCGAGTTAACTCGAGTCAGAATGTGCATGTGCAAGGCTGCATTTTTCATCCATCACCGTGACATCAAGTGGACTTTTAAAGCTAAAATAATGAGTGGATTAAGCTTGGAAAAACGAGAGAAACAACATGGATAGAACTTTCTTGTCGGTGGCTTGCAATGCATCACAGTCAGTCAGATAACGTCAGGAAGTGAGACGACGACTACTAAAATTAGGTAAGACAAAAAGTTTTATTTTTCGCAACTCGTGTGAAATAATATGTGACAATCGGGTCCAGTCGGGTTTGTGTCTTCCTGCCGGGTTCGGGTCCAGTTTTCAAATAATAGACGGGTCCAGGTCGGGTCCGGGCAGTACATTTATGGCATTTCTCGGGTCTGCACGGGTCCGGGTCCAACTTTTGAAATGAACGACGGGTTCGGGTCGGTTCGGTGTAGCACATTACGGGTCTCTTCCGGGTCGGGCATGAATTTTTGGACCCGTGAAGACCTCTAGCTTGAGGCCCAAGGCCACTGGCTTAACTCAGCTCGCTGTTAGCTCTGGCCCAGCCCTAGCCCGGCAGTGGAAATGCGGCTACTGTGGAGTACTTGTACTGTTGTAAATAGCACTCACGCAGAGATGTCTCTGCACTCAAGGCCTGATCCCCTCCCCCTGTATACCGGTACCTTATCAGTAGGATGAAAGCTGTAACAAGTAGGGCTAGGTATCGTAATAAAATGTTCGATACTGATACCTTGACTTCGATACCGGTTCCTGAACGATACCTTTTTCGATACCAATTTTATGTAACCAATTTTAACAATATAATATTACCTACATTTATATTTTATTTTTCAGTTTGTTGACTTTTTCACACTCATATTTTGAGTATGTAAAAAACCACCAATGCTAAAGTTTTCTATGTTTCCAAATCATTTAACAACATGTATTCTTTACTACAATTAGCTCATTGTTTCTGCCTTATCTTAATGAATTGTTTGACAATGAAACTGAATGAAACACCTCTGATAACAGATCACTCTAAATTGTAATTTAGAAACATGAATCTTCTGCAAAGCAGCTTTGAAACGATTTGTATTGTGAAAAATGCTAAACAAATAAATGTGAAATAAATTAAATATAGGCAACTGGGGGGGGGGGGGGGATTTATGCCTTGCGCTCAACACACATGAAGCTTGCCGCAAAGCACTGGCAACAGTAGCCTAATTGATTATGGATGTGTCGGGAAACAACAGCAAGGATATATTTTAATTGTTTATTAATGAACAAGTGTTTAATAAGTCTGCTGGCAGCAAATATGATTATGGCGAAGCTGACTCGTCATTCATGCAGTAGTGAATGTGTGCGCCTATAAGGATTAGGTAATCAAACTATTTATTTCTAATTGTTTCGTTTAAAAGTGGACATATGAGGTATCCGCTGAGGGGGGGGGATACGAGACGCCCAACATTCAACCCGAAAATATAACCATATAACCAGTCATATAACCATTGCAATAACTCCGAAGCTATTCAGTTAAGGTAAAAAAAACTGCATAGTGCAGCTTTAAAATGATTCATATTTTGCAACTTACAACTGCACATAAATCATTTTAATTGAAGCAGCCCATGATATCGTTGTGGATCTATATTAATACACATACTCATTATAAGGTGCTTTCCTTGCCATTAATGCTTGGATAATGTCTCCCTCAATTAAAACTGAAAAAATAATGGCTAGTGAACTTGGGTGCGATATACTTAAACCTACTAACATCCGTTGACATGATTTATCACAAGAAGAAAAAATTCATTTTTTCACATCTGTTAATGAAAGCAGATTTTTTTATAACGACAATATGAAAATATCGCAAAAGTTTTGCACAAATCTGTAATAGAAACCCGGCTATTGACAGGTGGTATTATATTGTAATGATTATACTACTATATTGTGACTACACTAACATTCTTTGGATGAATTCAAACTAAGCAACATTACTCATTTATAAACACAGAGACTAAACAAACCTTAGGGGAAACCACTTTGATGAGCTCATTCAGGAAACGGAACTTCCCCACCTCATTATGGAACCTTTTCCCACAGTTCTTCACACAGGTTTCTAGAACCTTAGGACACAAACACACAGTGAAAAACATTTACATAATTTATAATACAATAATTATGTAGATCATCTCTCAATATCAGCTGTAAAATTCATTCAGAACATTTACACCCTGAATCAATAAACTTACAACAAAACTCCCAGAAACATTTGAATTATGACAAATTTGTAGAAGAGACCTACTGATGGGAGATCCCATCAATTCATTTATTAAAGCTACACTGTGTAACTCTTTTAGTTTATTCTTAGCTAAAAACACTTAGTTCTATCAAAAATATATGTGCTCATTATGTGCTCATGTATATTTACCTCGTTGAAGTAATAAAGTATTCTTATGAGTGTATAATATGCCATTGAAAACACATACGGGTAAGGGGTTCTAATGTCGGTCGCCATGTTGTCCCTCCATCTTGAAAGTACATTAGCCAAAGAGGGACATACCCATTAATTCAAGCTTCGCCTTCCGCGTTTACGTTTGAGTTAACACTCATGGACGAGGTCAAACTGGAAGCCATGTTAATCTTGGACTACACTGGCCACCGTAGGAGTTAAAACGAAATCGGAATTGAGAGGAACAGAAACTAATATTCACTGGATAGTCATATACCTTTTCACCGCTAGATGGGGGTAAAAATCACACAGTGTAGCTTTAAAAAAAAAACTTTGCTTTTTGTCAAAAAACCTACTGCTGTTTGTCAAGGTCAATAGTCTCTTAACATATCAGATAATTGGATCTTTTTATGACAGGGCAAGATTATAAATGTCTTGCAACTCTCCAAAAATGTAAGGACATTTATGAATTAATAATTCATAATATAAACAAAATTCTCTGCCTTTAACCTTGACAACCAAATTTTAAAACATTTTGAAAATAATGATTAAGTTGTATTAAAGATGTAAAGAAAATATGTATTATTTTTACTTGATGAATAGTCGTTTTTACACAATGCCAGCTTCTAGCAAGAAAAAATTATGGTAAAACTTTATCATGTTTACTATCTATTTTTGTTAAAACTCTAAAACTATAGTTAGTTCAGCTTTAAAAAAAAAAAAAAAAGTCTTTGAAAGTATTAACTGATTGAAAAGGTTTCTCATGGGGTAAAACATGCTTTAGGGAAAAAGGATTCTGACAAAAAGAACATGATGGTGAATCTTATCTTAATATTAAAAACTTGATGGTTAGAATAAATAGAACATTTCTAAAGGATTCAGTGGAAAGAATAATGTATTGTTCTAGTCATTTGGATCTATCTAGAGTTATTGGATTTTTTTTTTAATTATTAAATTAGCCTATAATAGCGCCAACTTGTGGTTAACTCAAATTAAACACCATGCTGAACACGCTAAATTCCAGTTTTTTCTAAATTCAAGTTATTAACTGCTGAAACTTGATTGGCTCGTGGTGGGCATTTTGGTTTATTTGTAATATTAATTTGTCATGGCTTGGTTACCACTTGCCCTTAAGAAGATACGTGTCAAAATTAATTTTCCTTGATCAAACAGTTGTTGATTTAAGTTTTGATATGTAGCACGCCCTATGGGCAGAATTGGACAAAACTTTGCGCGCATCCTCACAATAACCTGTTGTTGACGTGTTTAAGTTTTTTATTAAGTTTAGACTATGCGTTCAACAAGTCAATTAGTCAAAATGTGCTATGCCAGACAATTTAATTGGCTTATATCTTAGCAACACATAAATGCATAAAATCAAAATTCAGCAGCAAATAAGCAAAAATTCAAGTACAAATAAAACAGGGTTTCAGCATATTCGGATAGACCCTGAATGCCAATCTTACCATGAGTGCCTGCATGGCCTCCCACTCCTGAGGGGACTGAATCTTGTGAGCAAGAAGCCTGGTGGCCAACTGGGGACTACACACACAATGCACAATAAAATGAACAATCTGTAAAATAGGACCCCTTGAACATTTACATGTTGAATTATTACAACAAAGGTAAGATATGTGATCCTAATACATTTTATTTTTATGTTTTTAAGTATGTTTTCCTTAGGTCTCTTCTTTCAGAGGTCTGTCACACACACAGAGACACACACACACATTGATAAAAAATGGCAGAAGGGTGACAGACTACTAAGCTTTCTCTATGTTTCCTGTCATGTGAAGCTCAATGAATTAAGGACAGTTGAAACTTTACCCTGTGACTGTGTGTTTCTGCCTTTGGTACTGTTTTATGAGCATGCACAGCCACAATGGCAAAAATGATCACATTCAGTATAAACAGAAAAGGTCCTACTTCTACTTTCTCATTTTATGAGAAATTATAAAAATGTCATATTATTATACCCAACAAGTATCATATCTATCATCATGTATAATAATCTGTGCTCACAAAACATATGGTTTTGTATCAGCTAAAGAAAAACGAAATGCTTGTCAGTTCTTCAGAAGAGTAATGAGAGCTCGCTCAACTGCCACTAACAGGACAGAAGTTGATTTCTAGTCATTAAAACCAATATCTCCGCAAGGTATAGAATAATGCAGGAAGGACGTCAAAACCCAAACGACTAATTCAAAAATGCTTCCCTGAGAATTTCTTTGGGGGGGGGTTATAACAGGGTTTTTCAATTTATGAGTAAAATAAGGAACATAAACTGTGGTAAATATAACTTCACAATACATGAAAATTTTGCTCTACAAATTACACACACCCAAGACTAATGACATTAACACCCACTAACCTGCCAACTACGAGTGGATTTCGGCAGTCATTCTCATTAATCACTTTGACGAGCTGAATTTTTATATTCAGTTAAATAAATATATGAGGAAGCACCACGCTTTAACTATTTACATGTGTGCAGCCAGGTTACGCGTTACTTCTAGCATCTCAGAGTGGCTCCATTCACAGTAAATACTGCACCACATTAATAAACTCAGTATCAGCATGGGTTGTTTGTTTGGGTTTCCAAAAAAAGCATTTGGGAATGCATATAAAGTCTTACAGGCTTTGTGTTTCAAAGCAAAATGTTACACGATTAACACATCCATCTCTGTATATGCTGTAAGTTTGGGTTGCAAATAAAGTGATGAACTTAAAACACATGAACTTGTTCAAGAAATGATAGTGAGTGGCTGTAGCATTTCTATCGTAAAGAAATGGCAAAATATTACAAGCTTAACTGGACATTGGAATCAAATGTTGTTTGACCAATATTAAACGGACAGTTCACCCAAATATTACAATTCTATCATCTTACCTTTTTCATCTCAGTGCGTGCTGTAACTCTGTTTGACGCACCAACCGCTTGCCTAGCTTAGCACAAAGGCTGGATGTAAATGGCTACAGCTTGCATACTAATCTCAATAAGAGACAAAATAACGCAAACATTTTCCTATTTACATGTTGTGATTTGTATAGTCACAGAGTGTACAAATAACAATGTCATATGAGACGCAGATAACTTTTAACTGTATAAAGATTGGGAACTATATTCTCAGAAGGCGAAGCACTGCTACTTGGGCGGAGTGATAACCGCAGCACCTATGACGCACCGTGGTGAGGAGCAGAGAGTTTGTTTAGAGTCGGAGCCAGCAATTAATAGATAGGAAAAGAATAGTTTACAATCATAGGTGTTCTTTGTATTGTAAAGAGCTGCAAAAATAAAAAGGGGAGACCAGGTAATACCATGATGTTTCATAGATTTCCAAACAAAAACGCTGACCTGATGAATCAATGGCTAAGTTACTTGCTCTGGATATCGATCCAAACACACCTGAAGAGATCATCAAGGACCATCGTGTTTGCTCAGTACTTTTCACTGAGGATGACTATTTTGAAAAAAAAAAAAAAAAAACGGAATTTGCCACACGGACCATGAAACGTGTGCTGAAGAACACGGCCATCCTATCGATAGCACAGACAGGACAAAGTGGAGCGGCTGCAGTGGTAAGTGTTCCGTTATTTTTTTAGATGATAGCCTATTGTAACAGTGCCATTAGCTGGATCTAATGTAACGTTAGTGATACTATTATAGGAACAAGGTCACTACTATTGCAATTGTTCCTGGGCTCCATGTCTCCCCTGTAATGTTAGTATTGTGTTGTCACGAACACGCTCTATCCCCCCAGTAATAAATGAGTGGACCTAGAGGTAAAAAAGAAGAAAAAACAGTGCGTCTCAGGTGCTGCGGTTATCACTCCACCCAAGAAACAGTGCTTCGCCTTCTGAGAATATAGTTCCTATTCCCAATATTTATCAGTTAAAAGATGGCTGTGTCTCATATGACCTTGTGATTTGTACACTCTGTGACTATACAAATCACAACATGTAAATAGGAATGACAGGGATATTTGAGTTATTTAGTCACTTATTAGGATTAGTATGCTAGCTGTAACCATTTACAACCAGTATTTGTGCTAAGCTAGTCTAGCGGTGGGTGCGTCAAACAGCATTACAGCACGCACTGAGATGAAAAAGGTATGTATGGACTTATCTAAGGCCCCGTCCACACTACTGCGTTTTCGTTTAAAAACGGAGACCTTTTGCTACGTTTGCACCTCCCGTCCACACTAAAACGGGAAAAACGAAAACCTAAAACGGAGAAGTTTAGAAACGCTGCAGCTGCGTTTTGCGTTTTGAAACTCCGGAGGGCGTTTTAGTGTGGACGAGACAAAACGGAGGAGTTTACAAACGATGACGCAGAGGCTCACGCTCGGCTCTATGATTGGGTGTCATCAGTCATGACGTGTCCTTCCCTGATTCGCCAACCACTGTTTACACCGGCGCGCGCATGCCCAGTGTTGGTGAATGGTCACGTGATCTGCGTTTTCAGTCGTTTTAATGTGGACGGAGATCAATTCTATTACGCAGACAAAACGCTGGTGTGGACGGAGATCGTATTCGTTTTAATTCTCCGTTTTTAAACGAAAACGCAGTAGTGTGGACGGGGCCTAACTCTCGGGATACAGTGAATAAGCTAAAGTCCAAAAAAGTTGGAGGGTTCCTTTAAACAAGGATTTGATCATGGTGTAAAATGTAACAACAATCACCAGATTGGATTTTAAGTCATTTTGAAGGCTATTGTTCAAATTAGGCCTATTTTTATTACCACAAAAAAAATATATGTACGATTAAGTCAAGTATAGCGCTTTTTACAATACAGATTTTTTCAAAGCAGATAACAGGACATTAGTGCAACAACAATTGTTTTGGCTGTACAGCAGATCTAGAAGAAAGTAATTGTCTAGCTAGCTTAAGTAAGTTTTTAATTTTTTCATTTTCGTTGTAAAAATCATTACTTTTAATGTATTGTGGCTGTTCATTTACACAACAACAGCGTTTGGTGGCCTGAGAAGGGAGAACGCAAACTTTGAACTTTGAAGGTTTAAAAGTGCTAGTCTTTGAAAACGATTTTTGAAAACGATCCTGTTATCATCTCTGTGTAATCTTAAAAAATTTGAACCTGAGAAAATGGTGCCAGCATGTATGCAAATTAAGTGTTTAGTCTATAGGCATGCGTGTTTGCACGTTTTTTTTATTTTATATAGTAACTGATTACTCGATTGTTTGTGAAAATAATCGACTGATTACTTGGTTTTGCATTTGCATTTTTTGACTCAGTCAAATAAAATACTATTTTTAAAATACCAGTCATATATTTCAGCATTGAAGATTTCTTAAAAAATAGTGTCAAAATACTGTCTTGTTGTGTATCATCGCACCCCTATAAATAGTCATTTCTCCAACAACAAAACTGTGGCTAGAGAAAATGCTGAGCGGCTAGTAATCTCAAGAGCTATACACAACCATATAGAAACCACATATTTTGAAGCTGCCATTTTTATTTGAAAAAAAAAGAAAATCATCCGTTTCTAATAAGTAACTAGATAATGTTTGGGGTGTGAGTGTGTGAAGTTTACGTTGTAGAAGAAACATTAAAATATGTCAAGTTATGTTAACTACAGGCCTTATTTTTACTTTGGAAAAACCCCATTATAAAACCCCATAGGAAAATCTTGATGGAACCAGCATGAATTAGTCTTCAGTTTGACATCATCCCTGCAGTACTCTATTGAGCTCCTGCTTATGGCTTACAATGACTGAAAACAGGCTAGTGAGATATCAACATTACACCACTGATGGTGTACCTTGGTTTATGAATTGCTCAACAATAGATACACATTCATAAATTTCACATTCTCTAGGCTTCTGTGAGCACAATATGTACAGGAATGTCTCTGGGAACATTCACAATGAAAGTGTTTTGTGTTTAGAAATGTGAGATGCAAAGACGTGTCTAGCACATTTATATTAAAAAAAATGTAAATCAGTAAAATGCATAAACACATTCTGTGTGAAATGATCCTTACTGTGCAGATTCATTTAGGTTTAAAAATTATTGAATTGTTGACGCACCCTTCAGGTTCATTGCTGAGCTGGTCACAGAACAGTTGAATACTCTCCCAGTCAGTTTCTCGATTTAAAGGGTTGGTAGCCTTGTCTACAGGTGACATAACAAAAGTCTGAAACACTAAAAAAACTACATACAAACCTATGACAACAAGCAAGCATAAAGATCACAAAAACTGTTAAACAACAGTTATAAGACAAAAAAATAACAATAATAACTGCAGTTTGACCATGTAAATGTCAGCAGAGAGAAGTGAAATGAAATCACAGGAAGAACAACTTTTGACGTTTTCATTAAAGACTATGAGAATATGAATAACTTGTGTACAACCTTTAAATAATAAATAAATAAATAAATACTGAGTGCAATTTGTAATGTTATTGATGTAGGGTCCAAGACAATAATTCAAAGAGGTTGGAGGGTAGAAAAGGTCGTTGTTGTCTATTCTTTTTTATTTCATTTTATTATTATTAGCTTTTTCAGAAAAAGTAATCTGTGCTTGCTTGCATCACAAGTGGGCTGCATAAAACTGACAAAAGTGTAGGTCGGATATGGCCCCTTTAAGGAAACGGCAAATGAATCATCTTTTCTTGACTGACATATTGGTTGGCAGAACGGAAATAGGGTTTGAATGGAGACTTTACATTATATAGGCATAACAAAATGTTCTGTCATTGAATGTCTTCATTCAACATTTTATTGACCATATGAGTCTGCGAGACTCCTCCCTTTTGACTCAAGAAGAGATAGCTAGCAATTTTACAACTCTTCTTTACCTGTCCATCACAGAACGCACAATCCACAACAGGAAATATATACACACAAAACACACTAAAAACAAGAGTGTGTCAGAAACTTTACTAGTTTAACGTCGTTAGCAAGCTAATAACTCCACTGCAAACAACATGACACTCCTCATCTGCGTTTAACGAAACACCTTCGCAAAGGCATGAAGTTAGGCAAATGTATGTCCTTGATATTCACACTGTCACATTAGAAGGCAATAAATTTGTAGTTTAATTGTGTTTGACTTACTGATGCGGGACTCTAAGCTCTGCTCGTCAGGCGGAGCCGCCATCTTCACCCGAGATCACAAGACCCAAATCTCGCGATGAAACACGTGACATCTCTGACCACAGAAGTACTTCTGCATTTTTTATTAAATGAAACAATACATTACGGTTATTTGGCCATGACTGTGAAACCACACTTTTTTCATATGGTGCATTTAACTACAATTGTACAAATAGATTAACTGACTTTGTCTTTAAAAGTTTCATGGTGGCTTTGGTACATTTGATAGTCTATTCTTCACGGTCGACGCAGTAGAGTCGTGGTTTTACAGCAAAATGTGACACAAGAATGTGGTTTGTCTGTGAAGCAAATTTTGGTTCATATGCCTTGACATGTGGAATTGTCAGATCCGAATTTAGCCTTCAATGGATCTAAATTTTTCAGCTTGATAATGTGTGACAAAAGATTATAGGCTACTGCCTGTGATGTAGGCTAGGCCAGAGCCATGTATTCAGAGAGTTGCGACACGCTCTGATGTCGCCGCAAGGCTGTCACGTGGTTCATGGAAGCCCCAATAGTTCCAAAACAGACGCGGGCTGTCATCATGTTCTTCAATGGACAGACAGCAGCGATTGCATTATTAAACGGTAAATATAAAATAAAACGCACACCAAAGTACTTTTTAAGCTTTTATATTGCGTTTGAATAATGTCAGTGTTGCATTTGGAGAGGCAGGGTGACAACTTAGATGTTTTTTTAGGCTATATTTTTGGAGGGAAAAGCTTGTGTTCATGTTCGCATTGGTAGTTGCACTGGCTTTAGCGGCTCTAACTTAACTTTTCCATGTCATTCATCTGATGATGGACGTCTCATGATGATATTTATTTTAGCACAACTGGGATGTAGGTTATTGATTCCCGTGATCTTGCTTATAAATTCCGATTCAGCCATTAGCCTACCGTGATCACGCAAAGACCCGTGGACCGGTGGCCCGTTCAGGATAACAATCACGACAACCAACGTAAAAATATAAATAATTACGCTGTGCATGTACAAATGAATGATTTAGGAGGGATATACTGCTCCCATGACGTAGCAATGACCATATTTACAGTAATGTTCAGTAAATTTTAAGTTTTAGGTATCTTTTCTATTTTGAATGTACTTTATTTTGTATAGTGCTATGGACCATTTAATATGTCCTGAATAAAGATATGATGATGATGATGATGTTCCTAAATATGATCCATAACTGTTGGGATTCAATTCAGTGGCTAATGTAGCCCTTCATCCTACCCTATTCATAGACTAAACCATTCATCAGAAAACACACACAAATACATTTATACGAGGTACTATGTATTGGCCTACACATGTTTCAATCACACATAATAACTAACCCTAACCCTAACCCCCCCCCCCACACACACACACACACACACATATATATATATATATTATGTATGCCTATATACATTACACAAACACATGCATAACCCTAAACCATTTAAATAAATCAATTGTGTGTGTATGTATGTCTAATATTATATATATATATATATATATATACATATTGTATATCTAATATTTATTTATTATTATTATTATAATTATTATATAATTAATATAATAATATGTTATATATTTATATGATGTTATAAAAAATATTATATACATCAGGTTACCATAAGTAACCTGTAGTTAGTGAACAACGTTAGTGAAGTGTTGGTCACGTAAGCTATCGCTGCAATTAACCTATTATCTTCCAATAAACATTTACTAGATCTGGCTACATAACATATAACTACAGACTAGATTCACGAGAGGTCGGCTAATGTGTGTAAAAGTAAAAAATACAGTAATTTCATTAATTTACCAGCGAGCGTACTTCGGAAGCACTGAAAATGAATGGGGTTCAATGCTGGAACCATCAGTGGTTGGAACTAATGGGCGGGTCTATGACACGCTTTACTTCTGCATTCCTGAGTTACAATGGAGGTCTAAGGGAGTGTCAGAACTCTCTGAATACATGGCTCTGAGCTAGGCCTGTTCCATTCTAAATTAAGAGAAAAAAGTGAGAAATAAAAATATAATCTTTATACATACATACATACATACATACATCTTCTTCCGCTCATCCGGGGCCGAGTCGCGGGGGCAGCAGTCTAAGCAGAGATGCCCAGACTTCCCTCTCCCTAGACACTTCCTCCAGCTCTTCTGGGGGATACCGAGGCGTTCCCAGGCCAGCCGGGAGACATAGTCTCTCCAGCGTGTCCTAGGTCTTCCCCGGGGCCTCCGCCCAGTGGGACGTGCCCGGAACACCTCCCCAGGAAGGCGTCCAGGAGGCATCCGGAACAGATGCCCGAGCCACCTCAGCTGACCCCTCTCGATGTGGAGGAGCAGCGGCTCTAGTCTGAGCTCCTCCCGAGTGACCGAGCTTCTCACCCTATCTCTAAGGGATCGCCCAGCCACCCTGCGGAGAAAGCTCATTTCAGCCGCCTGTATCCGGGATCTTGTCCTTTCGGTCATGACCCAAAGCTCATGACCATAGGTGAGAGTAGGAACGTAGATTGACTGGTAAATCGAGAGCTTTGCCTTACGGCTCAGCTCCTTCTTTACCACAACAGACCGGTACATCGACCGCATTACTGCTGAAGCTGCACCGATCCGTCTGTCAATCTCCCGTTCCATCCTTCCCTCACTAGTGAACAAAACCCCAAGATACTTAAACTCCTCCACTTGAGGAAGGATCTCTCCACCAACCTGAAGTGGGCAAGCCACCCTTTTCCGGCTGAGGACCATGGCCTCGGATTTGGAGGTGCTTATTTTTATCCCAGCCGCTTCACACTCGGCTGCAAACCGTCCCAGTGCATGCTGAAGGTCCTGGTGTGAAGGGGGCAACACAACAACATCATCCGCGAAGAGCAGAGACGAAATCGTGTGGTCCCCAAACCTGACGCCCTCCGGCCCCTGGCTGCGCCTAGAAATTCTGTCCATAAAAATTATGAACAGAACCGGCGACAAAGGGCAGCCCTGCCGGAGTCCAACATGCACCGGGAAGAAGTCTGACTTACTACCGGCAATGCGAACCAAGCTCCTGCTTCGGTCATACAGGGACCGGACAGCCCTTAGCAAAGGACCCCGGACCCCATATTCCCGGAGCACCCTCCACAGGCCGCCTCGGGGGACACAGTCGAATGCCTTCTCCAAATCCACAAAACACATGTGGACTGGTTGGGCAAACTCCCATGAACCCTCCAGCACCCTGTAGAGAGTATAGAGCTGGTCCAGTGTTCCACGGCCAGGACGAAAACCGCACTGTTCCTCCTGAATCCGAGGTTCCACTATCGGCCGTATTCTCCTCTCCAGTACCCTGGCATAGACTTTCCCAGGGAGGCTGAGAAGTGTGATCCCCCTATAGTTGGAACACACCCTCTGGTCCCCCTTCTTAAAAAGAAGAATCTTTATACAGTTTTCCTGAATTGCTAAAACAATAAACCCCATTCTCTGAACCAAATTCTCAATAGCCTGTATAAGTTATTATATATTTTAAAATACATGTGCTCAAACTAAATTATTTAAAAGTTGGATTTACTTTTGGCTTGTTTAATCCTAACTCTTTCTATAATTCAATCAACCTTTAAAATTGTAAAAAAAAAAAAAAAAAATAGCAGTTGGATTTTGTTTTTCTTTTTTACAATGAAAGAAGTTCCAGGCTACATTAAATATTTTCTAAATTACACTTCTGATGTTGTTGCATTTATATAATTCCCATTTTCATATAGCCTGCTAATCATTTAACATATTATTGGAAGCAAATACACCCTTCCAATATCAAGTCATTTTTCAATGATAAAAGGACAGAATAGAGCAAATCTGCTGCATGTTGGCTGGTTGCAAGACCGCCTTGCGCAAGAACAGCACTGGGGGTTCTGAGCACATACAGTTGTGGTCATAATTAGTGGCACCCCTGCTAAATATGATCAAAATGGCTATAAAAATAAATCTGCATCGTTTATCCCTTTGATCTTTCATTAATTTTTTTTTGCCAAAAGTTCAACCTTTTATTGAAGTCAATGAACTGAAAGTGCGGGAAATCACATTATGAAATGACTGTTTTTCCTCCAAAACACATGAATTATTGGCACCCCTTTATTGCAGTTTTTTTTTTCAATTGCTAAGAAGCGTTTGACAATTCTTCAAATTATTTTTCTTAGCTCTTATCACAGCAACACACCTACATCACATCTGCCCCAAACTATATTTTCTATATAAATAAATACAAAATCTACATTTCAAAATGCAAAAAAACTTTTTCAATTTACACTTATTCAAAACACTGCAAACCCATTTCAAAATCAAATCATTCGGTCAAATGTACTAGCACTTCTTTTGTATCCAACATGAACACATAGTCAGTCATAGCGCAATGACTGTCAAAATACTAACAGTTGGAATTACAAAAACTGGATTACTTGTCACGTTTGTAGAGTCTGGAAGAAGATCCTTAATTCTCTTTGTTAACATCATTAACTACACACATTCCTGTGACCACATGGTCAACTGACAGAGACTTTTTGTATCTAAATTAACCAAATCGGCGCCTAGGAGTCTGCAGTGCAAATGGACTTTTTGACATTTATGAAGACTGATATCACCAAAACATCGAAACAGATGTTTAGCAAAAGGCTGAATACACACACACACACACACACACACACACACACACAAACTCTAAGATTTCCGCTATATGAAGATGTTACCAAAACATCTGGTACGTTTGAGATACATGTAGGCTGGCTGTGATTTGTAAACTCGTTAGAAGACGTCATCATGAGTGCAAAAGAATTTTAAATGCCTGTAATTTTGCATGAAGACGTAACCTTGTACGTGTATACCTGTGGTGTTTGATATGGTTACAATCCTCCAGATCTGATCCATCTATTACACTTTTTCTCGCTTGTTTACACACATTTTCTGGTACTTGAGACACAATGACCACAACATGTAACTCATTCACCAACCCCCTGAACCAATTCTACTGAACTACAAGCACAATTCCTGCTTTACACTCAAATTGCAGTTCAAAAACACAC